GGGGGGGGGGGGGGGGCTCAGCAGCAGCAGCAGCAGCAGCAGCAGTAACGGTAGCAGGTGGAGCGAGGACAAGACAGCGATAAAGGCCCATAGTTCAGCTCTGGGGCAGGGCTTTTGTAGCTAGGCTTATATCTGCTTTGGGGGGTGGGGCGGCACAGCGTGGCACGGACATAGGTCATCGCTCGTTCGGTGCCGTCCGAAACAGCTTAGCTGCAGCAAAGACGTAGGTGGGAGGGTGGGGCCTGGGTAGAGATACATACGACGTGAGACACCAGGGCTAAGGCTCAGGCACTATACTGCCTTCGCGGGGCAAGGGGTAACGGCGGCGATTGCTGAGGGCGCTCGAGCGTTGAGGGGGGGGGGGGGGGGGGTACTAATCTAAACGCATGCCTTGCAGTCGTTAGACCATTTGCCTTGCATCCCTACAACGCCGGTAGCCAGTTTTCACAGCCCCAGGCGAAGTTTCACACCCAAGGATGAAACGAGCGCAGGGGGGGTGATGTAAAGGCCGGCCTCACGAGATTGATAGGATAGCAACAGCGACATTTGTCCATAATCTTTGCATATATTTTCTAAAAAACAACGAACACGTCGAACGCATCTCTCTCCAAAAGTGGAGGTGTTCGAAATTTTGTTCCTGAGGATACTTCGGTATTGTACATACACGCCTTTACATTGTTGTATGCCTACAGCAGGTTTTACACCATCAAGGCTCGTGAGATGTGGATAGTGGGTAGAATCAATGATTCACCCTGCCGGCTTCAACAAGATCTTTCCGGATCTCTACCCCTGGGGTGGAGTAGTCTACATTGAGTAAAGCTGGAACATACGAAGAAACTAGATAGATACATATAAAGTGGGTTTTGGCCATTCTACTCGTGGCTACGTCCTTCGCCGCGAAAAACGTACGCAACCGTAAAGCCGTTGAGATTTACCGTTGCTATCCATCATAGCATACGAGACAACGAGACCGCTTCATGGTCCATAAAACAGCACATGGGAAGACAGATTCACGGAGAGACTTTCTCTCGTGGCGGAGCGGCAGAGAAAAACTCAAAACACCTTGTTGTATAGGTTTAAATGGACCCTCGCCAAGAGTTGATTGTGCACTTCGAGGCTGCACAGCTTCTGGGCTAGCGGGTATACCAACCTCCCCCTCCCCGCCTCGCGGGCGTTTAAGGGCAGCAGTCAGGGCGACCAGGCGCGTATGTAGGTATGACTACATGTAGTGCACATCCAAATCGCATGTGCGATTCGACGTTCTCAGTATGCCTCTATCCTCCTCTGATTGCGATGCATGAAACACCAGAGCGCTACTACACTGCTCTGTTGTGGGCACAGCCCATAAGCGAATAGGAAGTTATCCACCAGCTTCCGTGGCGCGAGCGCGAGAAAGAGAATCAGAGGACATTTGGTCGGGGGGGAGGAGGGAGGGTACAGAGGTACAGAGGTACAAGATATTTTACATAGTAATGCACCGACTTCAAGTCCAACAACATGTGATTTCACGTTCTGCGGACCACCGCCTAGTGTCGACGCGACAAATAATGGTTGACATGAGACCATGGCACAACAGGAGCATCTCTTTCTGGCGCGTGCTCCTTTCTCCCTCTAAAACAACGGGAATCTCGAGAGCCTCTGCTGCTGTTTGCTGTTGTCTGCTGCCTCTCTTGTTTTGCGCTGGTGGTGCAATGGTGGCAGCGCTCCTGCTTCACGAAGATCGAATTGAAACGGAGGAAGTGCGTGCCTCTTCCTCTTTCCTGTAGAAAAAAATCGCATGGCATGTGCTGTATCTTACTGAGAACTACAACAAGCAACCAAGTCACACAGCAGTCATTAGTCATCATCATCAGCAGGAACATCATCACACACCTTCGCGCCGAATCCAAGTCGCCGTTTTCAATCCAGCCCTGCACGATAGCTCGCGTCCACTCGTTCGGGTCCCACTTGACCCACGTGCGAGCGGCCTGCCACACCTCGCTGTCAGCGCGGGTGGCAGGGGGCAGCATCGTCGTCACTGCCGTGCTGCTGTTCTCAACGGCGCCGGCCAAAGCCAGTTCGGTGGTGACAGAGGCCGATCTCGCCCTGGGTCTCCCAGTTGCAATCCTCAGCAGGGGCCGAACGAACCGGCCGTTCGCCCTGCGGTTGGTGGCGTGCAGGAGTACGGCGTTGACGCCCAGGATCGTCGCTACGCCGAGGATCAACAGCACGCTGGTCCAGGCGTCGATGATGCTGCTGTCTGCTGCTGCTGGTGATTGCGCCATCGTTTTTTTCCTGCTTGACCAGACCTCTCAAAAGGGCAACCAATCAGTCACACGTTGATTTGCCGATAATTGATTTGGGTCGCTTGCACTCAGCAGTGCCTCCCTGCGTAGTTGATGAAAGGGGCCAATGAGCCGGGAGGCTACTAGTAGGTGCGTGCGCTCGGGGTAGAGAACGGTGAGCGTGGTCTGCGGCGAATACTTGCGCGGTGCTTGTGCGAGTAGAACAGTCAATCCTTGGCTGCCTGGCGAACATTCGAACGTCCGAACGTCACATGTGACGTTGTTTTTGGTCCGATATTTTGTTGATATTTTTTCTCCCACAAAAAAAAATATTGATACCGTGGTAGGGGGAGACGCAAACAGTATAACGAAATCGGAGGGTATGACCTCCTTCCTTTCTCCGTCTTCCGACAGACAGCACTTCTTCTTCGCCTTGGCAGTGCTGGGCGGTGCACCCATGGATGCTCTGGCGGAAGGAACGGCTGCCGTCATAGTACGCGCGAGCAACTTGCAAGGGGCCTCGCAGGAGTCTCTCTGCTACGTCGAGGTCACCCATGAGGGAGCAAGTTCAGGTACGTAAAGCAATTCAGCAGCTTGTCCGCCATGACACTCGTACCCCCCTTCGAAAGCGCGGGAACGATACAGCAGTGGACTTGTCGCCGCGGTCCTCATCCACACAACCCTACCGCTGGTTGGATGGTGTAGCAGCTTTCTTGCAGGGTTGATAGAAGTGACTGCTCTGACGGTATTCTTTGGTGTCGAAAAAGTGAACCAACGCCCCGACGCATGCGGTAAACCTCCAACCTCGCATGATGCATATCCAGTGTGGTGGTGGTATGCATACATACTTGGCCGTTGGTGCTTTCGGGGAACGCATGAACGTGTAGGAATGGCAACACGTACGTGATCGCACCGGATGCCTAAGCCAGCCATGAGCGGCCATTCGCCGTACGAGCTCCCACGAGTATCATAAATCGTGCGGTTCCCCTGTCTGTCGGAGGCATTTACTAACTCTAGACATGCTGAAGTGTGGAATCCGGAATCTACGGAGAGCTTTTAGTTTTTTTCGTGTCTTCACTTCAAATCAGCGCTCACAGCACTGTAACAGTGCCGTTTACTCAACCCGTGGTCACACAGAAGAGCCCATCTGTACCCTCCCCTCCTGCCGTACTTTGCCTTCGATTTTTAATGCGAGAAAAGCTCAGCACTGTCTTCCCTCTGTGTACACACGAACCAATAGCGCTATCTCTCTTCCCTCTGTGTACACACGAACTAATAGCGCTATCCACTAGGCCAGGAGCGGAGGCGAGAGAAAAACTCACTTTGCAAGAATAGCTCGCTTACGCCGGGATTCGAACCCCTAACATGACTTCTAAAAGGTTCCGAGGATACCAACTAGACCACCGGGGCGACCGGTTCTCAAGCGATTTGCGTTCCCGTGACTCCAAACTCCGCGCGCAGAGGGAGCGAAGGACTCCAGAATATCTCATTGATTTCTACTTCTACTTGCGGACCCCTCGTGGCCAGTTTTATTGAGGAATGGCCAAAATCGGGTACACCCGGCCCCAATCCGGCCATGATCGGGTACCCTTATTTTACACAGTCGGCAGCGCCCTCCTGGCGCCATCTGATTGGCCGACGCCCGCCCCTACCCGGCCCTGACCCTATTCCCACCGGGTGCACCCGATCTTGGCTACTCACCCCCCGGAGGGTACCCGATCTTACTCTCGCCTACCCGAAAATGGCTGGGCTATTCGACCAACAGACCACCAGCAGACCACGCTCACGAACACACGTCACCAACACCCCGCACTCGAGTTCCGACGCTTCCGACGGCGGGCGGAGGCGAACCTAACACGGCTAACGCGGCGGATCTTTCGTTTGAAGTGGATCAGTGGATCTCTCTCCTGCAAGACTCCTCCTGCAACCCATCGCCGAGGGCGGAACTCTCTCGGTTCTCGTTTCGTATCGGAGAGGGAGGAGAGAGAGGGCCAGGCGGGCGGCGGTGGATGAATACCTCTCAATACCTCACTCACGTGATCACTTGAGCTGCACACAAATACATGACGCAGCTATGTCCACGGAAGCATCTGGCACAGAAGCATCAGGGTGTCGCTTTCGTCTGGAATACATTTCTAGACACATCAAGACCGGAGATGTGTGGCACGTTGTTGTGTACGTAGCGGGTCGTTCGTACACAGCAATGCAGCAGCAGCAAGCAGTGGATGCCATGGTTATGACTCGATCAAGACCGGAGATATATGACACATTGTTGTGTAGGAAGAGGATCNATGTCCACGGAAGCATCTGGCACAGAAGCATCAGGGTGTCGCTTTCGTCTGGAATACATTTCTAGACACATCAAGACCGGAGATGTGTGGCACGTTGTTGTGTACGTAGCGGGTCGTTCGTACACAGCAATGCAGCAGCAGCAAGCAGTGGATGCCATGGTTATGACTCGATCAAGACCGGAGATATATGACACATTGTTGTGTAGGAAGAGGATCGTCCATAGATACAGTAATGCAGCAGCAGCAAGCAGTGGATGCCGTGGGACCTCAGATTAAACAGCGATAATTTTTCCTTGACTTCGACCTCTCGTGAGTACGTGGGAGAGACAAGGAACTGCGGGCTTGCCACAGGAGATGATGAAATATAGGGAGAGTGGTGGTACACGCAGCATGAAAGATGGCTGGTGGTGAAGTCGCACGCGCCTTGCGCGAGGACCGCGGTGTTCTCTACTTCATCGCTCATATTCTGCCGATGCCAGTCGACTGTTCAGGCACGAGTGCCGAGATTAACCACGAGAGACTTGGTGGGTTGAGGAGCGAGATCTACTTGCAGGAGCGAAATCTACTTCAAACGAGAGTTCCGCCGCGTAGCAGGAGGGAGATCCACTGATCCACTTCAAACGAGAGTTACGCCGCGTTAGCCGCGTTNTACCGCGGTGTTTTCTATTTCATCGCTCATATTCTGCCGATGCCAATGGACTGTTCAGGCACGAGTGCCGAGATTAACCACGAGAGACTTGGTGGGTTTAGGAGCGAGATCTACTTGCAGGAGCGAAATCTACTTCAAACGAGAGTTCCGCCGCGTAGCAGGAGGGAGATCCACTGATCCACTTCAAACGAGAGTTACGCCGCGTTAGCCGCGTTAGGTCCGCCTCCGCCCGCCGTCGGAAGCGTCGGAACTCGAGTGCGGNTGTGTAAAACAAGGGTACCCGATAATGGCCGGATTGGGGCCGGGTGTACCCGATTTTGGCCACTCCTATTATTTGAGTGTACCTTTTTTAGGGTAAGTTAGCGTATGACCACGGGAATCGACCGCGCCAAGTGTTGGATCATACGGACATAAAAGGTACTGGGAGAGATCGGAACGGTTTTGCATGTGAAGACAACAATAATGTGTTGTCTGCTGCTGCTGATGTGTTGTACAGGCGTTTTGGTTTCCGGGGACGCACCTCCCGCAGCCCAGATCACAAAGAAGCGACATATATGTCCGTAGGTGTTGCCCCCCCNACCAGTACTGTATTTGATATGTCCGTAGGTGTTGCTCCCCCCTTCCCCCCCTGATTGAAGAATTTGTGCTGACGGGTACGCGGGGGCTCCGTCCCATGTGCGGTGTAACTGCTGCTGCTACAAAATTGTTCGTCCAACATGTAGAGCAGAGTACTTACATGTACCGTCACGCAGCAGTGCCATGGTACACACAGCGAGAGATTCACGCGCACAGCTTCTGTCTATCACAGCAGTGCCATGGTACACACAGCGAGAGGTCAACACACACAGCAGCTGTGTTTTCTGCTGCTGCTGATGCGTTGTACAGGCGTTTTGGTTTTCGGGGACGCACCTCCCGCAGCCCAGGTCACAAAGAAGCGACATATATGTCCGTAGGTGTTGCCGCCCCCCCCCCCCTGACACCACCCCCCCGGTGTTTTGCCATCGGGGTTGGGTTTTCGTCGCTTGGCAACGACGTTGTAAAACAAGCCGCCCCTCCCGGTGTTTGCCATCGGGGTTGGGTTTTCGTCGCTTGGCAACGACGTTGTAAAACAAGCCGCCCC